CAGAGCTGGCAACCCTGCCCTTCCGTCTGTTTTTTTTATTGAAACAGGTTTAGATAGATTTATAGAGAATAGATCAATTAACGACCATTAGCTATGAAGTCTAAATGGAGCCTTCATGTACAGAGGGAGTGTACCTGTAAATGCCAGTTACTGAGGGCAACAACCAAGAAAGGCTTTGGCCTATGTGCCCCTTGTTGGCCAGCTAGATGAGCCCTGTGGGGAAACTGGATGTTTGACTAAATAGACCAGTGGCCTGATCCAGCAAAGGCCAGGCTCATGTACTCATGCTTCCTCCTTGGTTTCCTATGGGCTTCTGAGACTAGAAAAAAAAATTCTGATTCAGGAGGTGAGATAAGCAAGTTTGGGACAGGTGGAGAAACAGGATAGCTTAGCACATGTTGAGCTCCTACATTTAACTTAGGCTTGGGATGCAATGCCCCGGGAAGCCTGCATTTCACAATCCAAGTCGGCACCTCCCAAACTCATTCCCATTCCAATCCTCTCTTACGCTTACCTGGAATAAATCTTTGGATCTTCTTGTTGAAGAAAGGTCGGTATGAGGACATCACCACAGGAATGACTGGGACCTGCCGTGCAAAGCCACACAATTAAAACTTTTTATAAAATTTGTATCGATCATCGAGTAGTCTTACTCTGATTGCTGGTGTTATAGGGGGAATTTTTTGCCCGTTGTCTTATTCTCCCTCATTTTGTGCGGTTTTAGGTGGTTTCTTTGTTTACTGAGATTCTAAGCCACGCTTTCAGAACAGTGTAGAACAAATATAAAACAATGAAATACCAATAAGATACTGAAATATCAATCAAAATCAATATAACATTAGATTAAAACGGTAGCAGGAGTCAGGGAGATCTCAGTTTTAGAAGGCAAACATAAAACAGGAAGGTTTCCTCTCCTGTCCAGAATGCCTGCAGGGAGGGACCCAAATGGGTTTCATGCGGAAGGACATTTCAGAGGTCTAGAGAAACCACAGAAAAGACCCTCTTATATATGGAGTCCAATCTGGTCTACCTGAAAGACAGAACTAGTGAGAAGTTCTCTCCAATCAATCTTAAATTACAGGGATATTCATGTTAGAGTCTCTTTGAGATAAAAGGTACCCAGATTGTCTAGTGTTTGACAGGCTAAGGCCAGAATCCTGAATTTGCTCCAGAAATACATAGGAAGCCTGTGCAGTTGCTTTAATAGTCATAGAATAGCTCACTGACTAACAGTTGACATAAATCTGGCTATGGCATTTTGCGCTAGCTGAACTTCAAGGGTAGCCCCACACAGAGGGCATTGCAGTAGTCTAATCTAGGACGCTGCCTTCGTTGAGAAGATCCAAAGTAGAATGTTACCTGCACAGAGATATGGAGCTGGAGTCCATAAATTCAGATAACTTCTTCCAGCTGTTTCATGCAGATATTAAAACCATGATTTTGGCCCCTAAGGAACCATATTCTCTTGTTCCCAGAAAGTAGAACAGCAGTCTCACCAAACCAACATTTGTCCAAAAAGGCAGTGGGACTCTGCAAAACCAATCCATCTCCAAAACCTATGAGATATTCCAAAAGGACACCCAGCTGATGGTAATGAAAGTTGCTGAGAAATCTAGAAAAATCAGCAGTTCTGCTGGCCTTCTCCCGATGTAAGGCATTTATCATATTGTCCAGCTCACCAACTATCATCTGCTTCACAGGGCCTGCTGTCTATGCTCCTACCTTCAAAGTAAGGTGAGCTGGAAACCAGAGACAGGGCCTTTTCTGTAGTGGCACCTTGCTTGAGGAATGCCCTTCCCTTTAAGGCTCACCTGGTGTCTATGTTACTTTCTTCTAGGTGCCAGACCAAAATGTTTTTGTTCACCCAGGCTTCTGAATAAGGGATTGGTTTTTTAATATTGTTTTAGTCTGGAAACTACTATTTTAAGGTGACAAGGCTCTGTTTTTATAGTCTGTGTTTTCATGCTGGGCTGAGTTTTTAATGCTAAATTTTAATGCATATCTTTTAATGTTTTGAATTTATCATTTTTTAAAAAAAAAAATTGTAAGCTGCCTCAGACAGGATCCTGGAGAGACAGCATGAACGTTTTCTAAATAAATAAATTATGCCAGAGCAGCCAGGACAATGTCCATATCAAACTAAAGCCTAAAGCCTCAAAGGAATAGATTTAGTGGGCCGTTTCCTGCTTTAGGCTGGAAGCCTTCTTCCAACAGAACATCCACTTTAATAAAAGGAAGGCTCTTTAAACTGGCGAAAGGCATCAAATGTTACAAGTGGAGTGGTAGATGATATAGGCTTATAAGTATTGAGACTAGCTGGGTATAGATTTTTTTCCACTAAAAGAGGAGTCCAATGACTATCTCCTTTAGATAGGTTAAATAAATAAGAAAACTCCTGATGCAGTGAAAACTCCTGATGGAGTGCCCTAAAAAAGAGAATAAACCAACCCAACTGGCCAGTGTATCATTTCTACATGTCACTACCAACAATGGGTATAGACTGGCAATATGTGGTGGCATGCCCAGTCTGGAGCCTTTGTTACAATTAAACTGATGAAAGCAACACTGACTAGTGGCAACCCTAAAGAGCTCAGGTACATAGTTATCAATATGAATAAATAGCTGGTATGGAAGACTGAGCCCTGACCAGGATGTCCCAGGCTAACCTGATCTTGTCAGAACTCAGAAGCTAAGTAGGGTAGGCCCTGGTTTGTACTTGGATGGGAGACCACCAAGGAAGTAGGGGGTTACTATGCAGAGGCAGCAACTGCAATCCACCTCTGAAGTCTCTTGCCTTGACAACCCCATGAGGGGTCACCATAAGTCTGCTGTGACTTAACAGCACTTTACCCACACACCTAGCGTTGCAAGGTCCCCCCCTCCTCCTCAGCCACTGGCAGGGGATGGGGGGGGGGGGGAGAGCGGCCAGATCCAGGTTGGGAAACCCCAAGAGATTTGGAGAGACCTCAGTGGAGTACAATGCCACAGAGTCCACCCTCCAAAGCATGTGTTTTCTCCATGAGAAGTGATCTCTGTAGTCTGGAGTTGAGCTGTAATTTCAAGGGATCCCCAGGTCCCACCTGGAGGCTGGCATCCCTAACACACACCAACAGGGAAGACTGAGAGGCAGATGATCTCACCTGGGCTTTCACAGCCAGATGGAAGGCTCCATGTTGAAATGGCAGCATGGTGGTGTAGTAGTTTTTGGTGCCTTCGGGAAACACCCAGATCCGCAGCTGGAGGAGAGGGGAAAGAGAAAACAGAAATGACAAGTAGGGATCGGTCATACAGTGTTGCACAGTGTTTTGAATCATGGGGGGCAATGTTCCCTCTAAGCTGTGGAGTCTTGTGAGCAAAAAAAAAGAGCAGTTTGTGTCAGAGTTCTCTCAGCCCCACCTACCTCACAGGGTGTCTGTTGTGGGGAGGGGAAGGGAAAGGAGTTTGTAAGCCGCTCTGAGACTCCAAGTGAAGGGCGGGGTATAAATTCAATCTCCTCCTCCTCCTCCAAAAATTCCACTTTGTGAGCTACTGGCATTAAAGCTGTGAGCGAGCAATTTGGCTACTGCATACATTAGTTTCCTCTGGAGCCCTCCTTCCTGAGCTGAGACAAAAATGTGTGAGCCGGAGGCTAAAAAACTGTGAGCTAGCTTACACTAACTCAGCTTAGAGGGAACACTGATTGGGGTGTGTGGCTTGCTTGCCTGCCTTTGTGTCCTGGGCCTGGCCCTGGTATTCCTTGGAGGTCTCCCATCCGAGTACTTGCCAGGGTCAGCCCTGCTTAGCTTCCAAGATCTGACAAGATCAGGCTTGCCTGCGCTATGCTTCTGGTCCCTGTAGCACTATGTTCACCAGAGACTGACAACCAGGGAAGCTGCTCTCCATGGTGATATTCAGCTTGGCAGAATTTTACAGAAATGAAGTGCAGTTGTTGGGGGACCGGTAAGAAGGTCCCCCCCCCTCTCTCACACACCCCAACACTATCTAGGGTTACCAACTCTGGACTGGGAAATTTCTGGAGAATTGGGAGTGGGCCCTGGGGAAATGAGAGGCCCCAGTGGGGTACAAAGCCATAGAGTCTACCCTTGAAAGCAGCCATTTTCTCCAGGGGAACTGATTCCGGCCGTCTGGAGATCAATTGTAATAGTGGGAGATCTCCAGGTGCCGCCTGGACATTGGCAACCTTAAGTATACAGTAGCCTTGTATGGGCAGTCACGTTAGTATGCCCACTGGGTTTTTGACAAAGGGCCTGGATAAGGATGTATGTAAGATAATAGCAAACTACTGGCTCAGCCACTTACTGGTTTCTCTGAGGAGACTCTTGTCCTGCCCTTAGCATTGCAGGGATAAATAAGGGCTCCAAGAACATCACAATCTTACTCCTTCAAGAATCCATGGATAATAAAGATTTAATAATAATAATAAAAAAAGAATCCATGGCTATGAGTTTTAAATAATCTGTGGATGGGGTTGATACTCAGTTTCAAGGGTGCCAACATGAATACTGGTGATCCTGTTTTTGGCCTGTATAGTACCAGGCCAAGGCTACCTCTGAGCGCAGGGAGGCAGAGACCCTGATTTGGCAGGTGGTGGTTGAACTGTAGGGCACATCATGGTTCTTTACTCACATTGTCCTGGACCATGGTCTCTGCTACCACTGCCATGATGCTGGTGCTGTCTGCTGCCTTCTTGTTGTCAGTGATAATGAAGCCACTCAGCCAGCAGACCACTGCCACGGTCAGCATGTAGAAGATCTCTTTCGTGACAATGAGGGTAGATCGCTGTGGCAAAACCTGAATCATCCCTGGGTTAGAAATATGGAAGAAATTCAGAAAGGGTGGTCAGTTGTAACCTTTCCCCCCACCTTCCTTAGGACAGCACCAAACCAGATGAAATACTGCCTGGAGCTCCTGGTGTTGTTGTTGTTGTTTAATGCAGTGGTCAGGCATGGAAGGGCTCAATTCTGATTATGACTGTCGGGTGGGGTGTGGTGGGCCTCCCATGCCATTTTTCCGACCTGAAAGTGTTGGGGAGCTATGAGATTTGCCCCATTGACTACTCATACCTGTACCCTAAGGTGCAGAGAGACCTGTGTTCAAATCCCCACTTAGAGATGATGCCAACTGGATGATCTTGGGCGACTCACTGTATCTCCACATAAGCCTCACAGGGTTATCATGTAG